GCAGGTCGAGGCTGCGGTGGCCAGGAGCGGCCACTGTACTCCAGTCTGGGCAACAGAGTGGGACTCCAACTCAAAATAAAAAAAAAAGAATATTACATAAAAACAATTCTTTCATGTACACTAGCAATTATGTGAAAAACACAGAGAAAAAAAGAGTTTTTAATATTTTGTGTAGCAGTAAACCAGCATAGATATCTTAGGATTTCATTTATATAAAGTATCCAGGCCGGGCGCGGTAGCTCATCCCTATAATCCCAGTACTTTGGGAGGCCGAGGTGAGAAGATTGCCTGATCCTGTGGGTTTGAGCCCAGCCTGGGCAAACTTGGCGAGACCTCATCTCTACAATAAATCAAAAAATTAGCTGGGTATGGTGGCGCGTGCCTGTAGTTCCAGCTACTTGGAAGGCTGAGGGGGAAGGATTGCCTGAGCCCAGCAGGTTGAGACTGCGGTGGCTGGGAGCATGCCACTGCCCTCCAGCCTGGGTGACAGAGTGAGACTCCAACTCAAAAAAAAATTATAAAAGCATCCAGAAAGGGCAAACCTATAGAGACAAACTTTAGTGATTGCTTAAGGCTGCAGTGCAAATAGGAAGTAACTCTAAATGGGCCTAAGGCATCTTTTGGAACTGATAGAACTATTTTTAACTGGATTATGGTAATGGTTGTACAATGCTAAATTGACTATACATAAAGAGGCAGTCAGCCAAATTCAGGATGAGTAGGATATTGCATAAGACAGATGACCAAATTTCCCCCAACAAATCAGTGCTAAGGAAGAAAAAAAGGGGTGAGGGAGAATATATATAGAATGAAGAAGATTTAAGAGACATAATAAATAAAGCAGGCTGGGCGCTGTGGCTCACATCTATAATCCCAGCACTTTGGGAGGCCAAGGTGAGAGAATTTCCTGAGTTCATGGGTTCGAGACCAACCTGGGCAATTTGGCAAGACCTCATCTCATCTCTACAATAAATAAAAAAATCAACTGGGCTCAGCAGCTAAGCCTGTAATCCCAGCACTTTAGGAGCTGAGATGAGTAGATTGCCTGAACCTGCAGGTTCAAGACCAGCTTGGGGATGTGGCAAGACCTCATTTCTACAATAAATAAAAAATTTGCCAGGCGAGGTAGTGCACGCTTGTAGTTCTGGCTACTTGAAAGGCTGAGGTGGAAGGACCGCTAGAGCCCAGGAGGTCAAGGCTGCAGTGGCTGTAAGTGTGCCACTGCACTCCATCCTGGGCGACAGAGTGAAACTCTAACTCAAAAAAAAATTTAAAAATTGAAAATAAATAAATAAGCTGGGCTGGGTGGCTCAGCCTGTAATCCCACGCCTTGGGAGCCTGAGGTGAGTGAATTGCCTGAGCCCGTGGGTTCGAGACCCGCCTGGGCAACTTGGTGAGACCTCATCTCTACAATAAATCAAAAATTAGCCGGGCGTGGTAACACGCGCCTGTAGTTCCAGCTACTTGGAAGGCTGAGATGGAAGGATCACCGGAGCCCAGCAGGTCAAGGCTGCAGTGCCCGGGAGCGGCCACTGCACTTCAGTCTGGGCAACAGAGTGAGACTCCAACTCAAATAAATAAATAAATAAATAAATAAATAGAGCTTACTGTGGAGGCTTTTTTTGGATTCTGATTAGAATAAATCGACTGTGAAGAAGTTTTAAAACTATTGGGAGCCGGGCTCGGTGGCTCAGCCTGTAATCCCGCGCCTTTGGGAGGCTGAGGTG